CGTATGCATTTGCATTAGTGCTGACAAGAATGCTGGAAGTACCATGGACTGCCAAAAGAACAAGCATCTGTCTTGCAGGTACAGCCATCCCGCTCCTTAAGAGGCAAGGAGGGCGAGACTTCACCTCACGTTCTTTGGACATGTTGTCAGGAGACCAGTCCCTGGAGACGGACAGTGAAACAGAGGAAAGCCCTGGACGAGATGGACTAACACAGTGACTGCAATAAGGAACTCAATGATTGTGAGGATGTTGCAGGACCAGATGGAGTTTCATTCTGTTATACACAGGGTCACTATGAATCGGAAATTCTGGATGACCCCTAACAAGAACAGCAACCAAGAAGTTAGACTAGACTTCTTGGTTTTGGGGCACTTTGAAGAATGTCAGAGTGAAGAGGTGAAGAGCATGGTAGGAGAGGACTTGGCCTTGGATTAATTACCAATACCACAAAACGCAAAAATCCCTGGTAGCATAATGGGTTATGTGTTAGGCTGCTAACCTCAAGGTCAGCAGTTCAAACCCACCCGCCGCTCCTTGGGAAAAAGATGAGGCTGTCTGCTGCTATAAAGATCTACAGCCTCAGAGACTCAGGGGCAGTTCTACCCTGTCTTACAGGATTAATATGAGTCAGACTGGACTCAAGGCAGTAAGAGACCACAAAATGCAACCCACTTCCCCTTGAGCTGGGATGGGACAGAGCACACCACAGACACAACAAACGGATACATGTACGTTGGGATGCCTTTGGCAGCCAAATGTTTCCGAATAAGTCGCTCAGTACCGTACCAGTTAAAACCTTTGGTGGCATGTCCAATGCGTGGAAGGTGCACACTTGCTATTAAAGGAAAAACAGTAGATGACGATGTCTTCATCAGGAGGTGACGGATGGGTACAAACTATACATAAGCAGATACTCTGTACTCCCAGAGTCACTGTGTGCCTCCAGCGGACAAAATATGTGTAGTCGTGGACACTCCCACCCAAAATATCCAAGTGTAATTGTCAAAACACCCAGGGAAGGGGCTGCAATAGGAAAACATGAAGTAATTCTGTGGGGTACAAGGACTCATGGGACGTGCGTCTAAATACCATGGGGAAAGAATATGGTCAAAATTAGAGATACTAAAATGCTCAAAGACTCTTTAATAGCTGGCCAACTCTGCGATACACTGGGATTGGAAACAAAATTAAACTTGCTGGGTTTGGGCACAGAACTATCTGCTAGCGAGACTGTGGCTCCCCAAGAGGGGGCGTCATGAACAGCAGCTCCCAACAATGTATGCCCAGCTTCCTTCCTCTCGAAACGTCTGCTTCCTCATCTGTAAAATCATGATGCAAATACTCTAGTCGACGGGGATGGTGGATATGGAAGCGAGTTGAGAAGGAACAGACGGCTGGGCTGGGTACTTCTACCACCTCTTATGTACTGAGTGGGATCCTGACATGACTCACCACTCTTCAGGCATCCGCGTCGGGCGCCGGTGCACAAGATCGAAACGAGAATGCACCTGCTCCTGAGCACGGCAGGGACGCTTACCTTTCTTCTTCTTTGCTGCTGAAAATATCTTCTTCAGGCCTTCTTCCAGCGCTGCCATCTGAATGCCCGACAGGACATTGGAGCGGTCACGGTGCTGAGCCACAATCAAGGCCAACTAAGGGGAATGGTGGACATGACGTTCAGTGGCTACATGCCAACTTGGTGACCTGCCATCAAGGGGCAAGCAGTCCCTCACAGGCACTGCCCTTTGTGGCTCCCTCTGGGCTTTAGTTCCACCTCCTTTGGGTGTTCTGGCTGAAAAGGCATGTCTTACCACATAACTCTTTTATCTTATGCTGTGTTAATTTTACATAGGTTGACCTGTCTCTTTTTAAGATAACATTAAACCTACAGGTCAAAAGAAACTGGGTTTTCTAAATGCTCTCAAAGGTCAAAAAGATTTTTTTCAGAGTCTTAGAAACAGATCAATTTTAAAGGTATTCTACTCCCGCCCTCTAGCTAATGTGTGTCAGCAGCTCCCGAGCCCCATGTGAGCAGTCACTCAACATCTGTTCAAATAATTCCCACGAAGGAAAAATGCCAAATATTACCTTATGTCCTAGTGGAGTAATGGACTAAACATTGAACTGCGAACCACAAGGTCAGCGGTTCAAATACACCAGCCAACCCATGGAAGAAAGATGAGGCAGTGTGCTCCAGTAAAGAGTTAGTCTTGGAAACCCTCAGAGCAGGTCTACTCTGTCCTGTAGCGCGTCACTAGGAGTGGAATCAACTTGAGCACAGTGGGTGGATTTCTGGTTTGGGTTTTAACCTCCGTGGGGTAACGGCACACCGAGTACCAAGGGAGCTTCAGGGACTATCATCTCTACAGTTACGCAGCAGACATGGTGTTCCACTCGGCGTGGCTCTCTTGGAGTCACCAGATTCTGAACTGAGGCACAGAGAGGCACAATGCCACACTCAATGCTACTGCATTTTGGAAATTACTATAAAAAAAAATCACCTTCTGAGCCACGCAGGCCACCAACCTCAAGAGAATGACCCTCTCTTACAGTCCATTTCCCAAATTTCTTTCCAAAGCAGTAACATTTAGCTCAGATTTTAAATATGAATTCAGCCTTTGAGAATGCCGAGGTGTATTAAATAAAGGTCATGACAGGAATCCAAAGGACAGGCAAGTGGGAGATTCTTTAGATGTGGAGAGAGAATTCCGAGTGGCAGAGGTAACATGGATGTATCCCCACTTCTGGCTGGCTAGACTCCATGACCTTGCACAGCACGTGCCCTGTAATAGCTGATCAAGCCCTCAGTTCTCAGTCCCCGTCCCTTCTTCAGTGTGCGTTCACTGAGTGTTTTCTATGAGCCAGTACTGTGCTACGACAGCTTGAAGATCAAAAGGAAGAGCGAGGTCCTGCCAGGAGAGGGATGCACAGCCTAGGTGAGAGTGGGAACAGGAAGCAGAGGACCATGCTCCAGGGACTGGGATGGGCACAGGCAAGCCCAACTGTCAAGGCCAGTGCGGCTGGAGAGGTTTCCTGAAAAGGCGAGATGAGCCAACTTCAGTTTGTATGAAAGATCTGCTTTTCAACTTACCAAATCTTGCCCTTTGCTTCTTGACTCCTTATCATCGATAGGAAATAGCAGGACACCTCCCAAACTCAAGTCTGAGGGAACATGAAAAGGACAAGAGAAAGAACATTCCAGTCCCTAAAGGCTGAGGCCACTGAAAATGACCGTGCAGAATCCTTATTCCTTGCCTTTTCCAAATCCAATCGACGTTCAAAGCCCACCCTTCCTCTCTTCATTATCTTTCACAGCCTCTTCTCCCTTTCACCAGCTAGACCACCCCCTCAAACATTACCCCAGCAAAGCCTCCCTGCAGGCACAGCGAGAGGCGCAGACCAAGACTGGAGGAGTCCAGGGGCTGGGAGGGCACGGAGAGCCTAACATTCCTTTGGAAGCTTCATGTTTGCCTTACACCATCCAGCTAGTGCATTCTACTGCTTCGCTTCCCAGCCCCATCAGAATCAAATCGAGCTGATGCTCTGGGGAAAAGGTGCTCATTTAATTCCAGGGTGTTGCTGACCGCAGTTTGAACCTTTTGTCCTCTCCATCCACTTGGAACACCCCAATCTTCTAAGTCATCCTACAACACTGTCTCTGCTATGCCATTCTTCTGCTTCAAATCTCCCAAACGGCTAGCCAGTCCTCACAGTTGGTAAGAAAGACCCCGCTCAGAAGTGCATCTCCTTGGACACACATGTACCATCTTCCACGATGCGGCCAAAGTCTCACCTTGACAATCCTACTCTCCCCCGTTCCTCACCCTCTACACACAATGACCGTGTAGTGGCCGGATCATCCAATTCTCTTCACCAATTGGAACCCTAAACCATCTTTCCACGTTGTTGTCAGGTCATCCGACGGGTCAGTTCCAAGTCACAGCCACCCTCGAACAGAACCCACAGCATGAACCTGGCCCCGTTCGGCACCGCCCTCAGTTGTTTCTGGGTCTGAGCGCACTGTACAGCCACTGTGTCCATCCATCTTGTCCAGGGCCTTCTGCTTTTTCGCTGCCCCTCCACTTTGCCAAGCATGATGTCTTTTCTCCAGGGACGTGCCCAACATGATTTTCACCACCTCCAAGAACCCGTCTCCAGTAATTCTAACCCCAGTGACTGCAGTACCCTTCTAACCTATGATGGCAGCTTCTGCCATATCCAGTCTCAATCTTCCCTAGAGGAGGGTCCGTGCTCCATGGGTTCTGTACTCACCATTGACACCTCCATTCTGTGCAGCCAGGCTTTAGTCCTCACAGACGGTTCAAAGTGTTCTGAGGTCAGATGACACCCCTCAAGCAAGCTCCAACAGCTCCGCCCCAGCGCACCGCTTCACTCCTGAGCCCCACAGCACAGGCCAGTTTGCCTCCTCGTCACCTCCTCCCCCCTCGCACTTCACACTAACTGTAAGGGTTTTTGGGGCACGAAGCGGAATTAAAGGTCCAAT